TCATCCGACCCACCCTGCCAACAAGCCTTGGTTCCAACACTATCTTCTGAAAGCAGGACAGCCCAACCTAGGAGGAAGCCACCCACTATCAGCCCAAATGAGCTTTTGGTGTCATCTGAAAGTTTAATAGAGATGTCAACTGAACTGAGATGACAGTGAAAAGTGCCAGATTCAGTACATCTCTAAAGGGTTTATTTCCATCTTCCTGAAATCTCATTTCTCTGCTACCATCTGCAGCACACGGTAACGTAGGAGTGTTGTGAGTGTCTGGGAGACAGCCCCTAGGTGTCCATGGCAACCCAGCCATGGGGAAAGTGCTGGGCGGTGAATGTGTGGGAGCTCAGACGAGGCTATTAGCTGTTCCAGCTTGAATGTGTCAGTATGATCAGTGTGTATAAGGCACAAGAAAAAAAAAATCCGTTATTAGCCTCTGCAGCTATATCAAGGCAGAGTCTTGCTTCTTCCAAGGAGGGGATTTGGCTGGCAAACAGCTCACTGCTGGGAATTGCTGAGAACAGTACAAATCTCTCTCCACCACTCAGTTTCTCAAAGTCAGCTTTGTCAGAAAGCCAACTTGGACTGAACTCATGAAAGCCCAAACCTGCTGGCCCCTGGAATTCCTGTGGCCACTCTTCCAGGGAGCCCCATTGTCTCCTAACTTCTCTTCTTCCTCATTTCGCCACTTCTACATTTCTACCTCACTTTCTCAGAAGGACTTCTTAAAAGTCCTCAGAGGGTAAGAACTGGGTTTCTTTCTACCCAGTATTCAGCTAAAATGCTTTTATAAAGTGTGGAGGCATGGACTAGAATCACTCACTCTGTTAAATCTCAGCTCAGCTATTTACTAGCTATGCTTATAGACATATCACAAATTCTTTGGTACTCCTCCACTCAAGACATGGAACCTCATCACCACCCCTCCCTTGAGTGTGGGCTCGACTTGCTGACTTGCTCCCAGAAAATACAATATAGCAGAGGTGATGGAATATCACTTTGAGAGAAGGTTATTAAAAGACTACAGCTCCCATCACAGGCGAGCTTTCCCATTCTTTTATTGTAGAAATTACTCACTCTGAGGGAAGTTAGCTGCCACGTGTTGAGGACACCCAAGTAGCTTATGGAGAAGGCCATGAGGCGGAGAACTGATGCCTATTAGCAACCACGAGAGTGAGCTTAGAATCGGATCCTCCCTAAATGAGCCTGGAGGGGACTGCAGTGGGAACCAGCAGCTTCACTACAGCCTAACAAGAGGTCCTGCACCAGGACGATGCTGCTAAGCCCCTCCAGGATCCCTGCCCACAGAAACTGTGAGATAAGAAACGCTTGCTGTGTTAAGCCACCAAGGTTAGGGTAATCTATAATGCAGAAAGTGATAATAATACATAGCGAGAAGGTGACATAACCTGAGATTCAGTTTCCTCAGGCATAAAAGGAGGATGATGACAGGTTTGACAATCCTATGAGGTAATAAATGTAAATCACTCAGCCCAGTGCCTGGCACATGCTCAGCAATTAGACCTGCTACCAACATCCGTGTGGGGTTAGTACCATGTCATGGTCAAAAGCAAAGACTTTGAGTTGACCAGACCCATAAAGAACTCTTAGAAGTCAATAATTAGAAAATAATTTTTTAAATGTGGAAAGATTTGAACACAGATTTCACCAAAGAAGACATACAAATGACAAATAAGCATATGAAAAGATGTTTGACATCATTAACCAGAGAAATGTACATTAAAGCCACAGTGAGATGTGACCACATACCTACTAGAATGGCCAATTTTTATTTAAAAAAAATAGATAATACAAGTATGGTGAGACAATGGAGTAACAAAGACTCACATACATTGCTGCTGGGAAAGCACAATGGCACCATCATCTAAACAAATAGTTTAACAATTTCTTAAAAAGTTAAACATATAGTTGCCACTCAGCCCAACAATCCTATTCCCAGGAGAATGTATTTACCCAAGAGAAATTAAAATATATGTCCACACAAAGATCTATAAGTGACTGTTCAAAGCAGCTTTATCTGTAAAAGCCAAAAGACTGGACACCAAACGTTCATCAACTGATAAATGGATTAACAAAGTATAATACGTTCATACAATGGACTATTCCTTAGAAATAAAAAGGAATGAACTCCTGATACATCAAACAACATGGATGAATCCCAAAAGCATGATGCTAAGAGATATAAGGCAAGATCAAAAAGCTGCATATGGCATAATTACAGTTATATGACATTCTAGAAAAGAGAAGACTGTAAGGACAGAAATCATATCAGTAGCTATCAGGAGGTGGGGATGGGAGAAGGGGCTTGACTACAAAGCAACACAAGAGAATTTTTTAGAGTGATTAAAATATTCCATATTTTTATGAAGATGATGGTTATATGACTGTGTATAGTTGTCAAAATTCATCAAACTGAATCCCCCCCAAAAAGCAAATTTTACTGTGAATAAATTATTATACCTCAATAAACCCAAAAGAAAATAATCTGGGATGTTGATAAAGAGGGAAGCTACACATTGTAGGGGCAGAAGGTATACAGGGAATCTCTACCTTCCCCTCAATTTGGCTATGAATCTAAAAGTGCACTAAAAATATAAAGTCTTGACTTAAAGAAATAAATGTATTAGAAATGCATTCTCTTCATAAGATGAATCAGATATTATAGTGCTCTAATGAAAGAATATTTTGCTGAGAAAGAAAAAGAAAAAAAGAGAGGAAAAATGAAGGGAAGGAGAGAAGAAAGGGTAAATGGAAGAGGGGAGAGAAGGAAAAAGAAAAAAAATAAAAGGAGGAGAAAGAAAATCTTTTTTCATCTGCCACCAAAACCTGAAAACCTGTTCCTAGAGGCAGTTTGGCACAAGAATTTGGAATGGAACAGACCTTGTTAAAACCCCAGCTCTACACTTTCTAGCTGTGTAACATGACCTCTCTGAGTAAACTCTGTAGAGCAGGGATATGACTACACTGACCTATTACTGTCACAATTTAATGAGCACAGTCTGTAATCTTCACAGTGACAGCTCCCCTTAGCATACCCCATTCCTCAACCCTGCAGTAGGGATCTTGTTAATTTAAGTGCCCACACAGTGGTGACGGGAGTAAGAGTTTGAGAAGCAGGGTGGACAATACAATCTTACCTCATTCAAGGATTAAAGTTGGGGGAACAATGAGGCAAAGAGTAGCCATGCCTTTAAAAAAAAAAAAAAAAAAATCCCTTCAACAGATTTAAAGGGAATCATGGTTCCAGTCGCCTGTAGAAGGCTATGTGCCCAGAAATCTAAACATGTCATCTGGAAAGTAGTCTGTGACACTTGGTTTAGTAGACAAAAAAGATTTCAATCTGTGTAGCAAGAGTCCATTTATCTAAAAGTGTGTGTTTTGAGTTATTTGTGAATAAGTCCACAGAGATATGTCCAGAAGAAAATTCACCAAAGTGATTGTCCCTGGGTGGAGGGATTTCAGGTGGTTTTTACTTTATTTCCAAATTGCAGTATCCTTTTAATAACCTGCAATGAGCACATATTTCTATAATAAAGTTATTTTCACTTTGAAAAACATGAAGACATTTCAATGCAATGTTCCAACAAAACAAAACACATCAACATGCAGTAAGGCAAATGGTCCATCAGACAGCAGTCCATGCCCTGGAGTTGCCCTTCTAGCCAGCACTGGCAACAGGAGGCAAACAGGTAGGTAAAACTCTCAGGTTTACAAAGGTGGAGCAGGTGCAAAATGGTATGGGTTCAAGAATAGGTTTGGAGAGGGAGAAAAACTCAATTCAAAATCTGGTTCTACCACATTAGCTGTGTAGACTTTGGGCAAGTGCCTTAACATCTCTGCCCTTCAGCTTCCTCCTTGCTGAACTAGGGTAGTTACTTCTACCTTCTATGTGATACCTTCAGTTCACTGCCCGGTGCACAGTAAGTACTCAATAAAGTCAGCTGCTTCTATTATTATCTGGGACATTCACATTGCAACCACTATGTTCTCCATGATCTGGGGTCACACAGCAGAATGGAGAGAAGGAATGGCAAACCTTGTTAAATTCAAACACTGGGTCTTGGACAACATGCTTCTCGAGCGTCGTGAAACCCTTCCTGGGAGCAGCAGGTGAGGAGTAAGGCAAACCGCAAAGGGGAAGAAGAGGGCAAGACGAGGGTTGACATAACCCCTGGGTTCACCTGCTTGTAGTGGGTGAGCCAACATAACTCACCCCTCTCCTCCACCCTTCCTCCTGGGTTGGCTGGGACCTCCCCCATAGACTTCATAAGTAGGATCCCGGAAAGATGATGCAAACGCCAAGCCAGAAAGAACTTTACAGACTGTATACTGCAGCATTCATTCTGGAGGTGAGGGACCTGAGGACTGGGGAGAGAAGGGGATCACAGGGAACCAGAGCAGGCAGCACCCAGCACAGGCTCTCCATCATGGTGTCCCCTCCTATGCTCACCCTTCCCTCCCCCTGGCTCCCTCCCAGGCTTTCATTTCCCCCGTTCCTTTCCCCTGCCTTATTACCTGCCGGGCTCCTTAAGGGCCCTTCTCTCCTCTGGCAGCCCTAATTGTCCCTGTTGGCTCTGTGGTGAGGGGAGAAACCAGACTAGGGCTGTTCTGACTCCAAGGATGGCCTAGAGAGAGGACTGCCGGGGCCACAGTGAAGTCAAAACTTGCACAGTCACTCCTCTGCTTCCAAATGAAACAGAGCCCAAACACTGGTGTGAAACAAGAGAGAGAAGAAGAAAGGAGCCCTGAGTCCTTCTCAAACCTCCCTGGCAACACTGAAAGTTACCTTGACACTCTTAGGAAAGGAAGACCCTGGAAGAGAGAGGTACCAGCAGATTCGAGAGGAGCCAGCAGACTCCATCTCCTAGGTGGTAAATACAGCTGAGATGTGGGGCAGCCAGAGGTGAGGAGAGACTTGGAGGCCGGTGTGCAAGGCCACTTTCCCAGGTCACAGTCTCAACTCTTGGTAGTGGGCTAGGACTTACCTTGGGCAGGCTGACTGGAGTCCTGGGCTTGGTCCTTGGGTTTTTAATCAAGAGCCTCTGATCCAGAGGGAGCAGATGGTATTTCATGGCCTCGATGAGGAAGTCCTTACAGGTGTTGTTATTCTTTATCAAAGCTTCTTCTTCAACTGTCTAAAGGTAATAACCCACAGGTGATCCTGGGGCAGAGTTGAGCCCCATTTCCTAAGCCATCTCCCTGGGCTGAGTCATTCCTGTGCTCCCACACTCATCCATTCCCTCATTGCATTGTCTCAAACCCCAAGACCAAGGTCCAGAGTTACAGCTTGGTGCCCACCTCCTGCATCTCAAGAGAGCAATGGAGTAAGAGATGAAGCTCCGGCATCAAATCCCAGCTCTACCACTTACCTCCTCTGATCCTCAGTTTCCTCATCTGTAAGATGCAAGGCAGGCATATTAAAGTACCCCACAACCTCACACATTGTATTTTCTTGTAAACTTAAATTATATAAAGACAATTTATTGTCCCTAAGGCTTCCTTCCACATGCCCCCTGACTGGAATGTATTAGGTTGGTGCAAAAGTAATTGCGGTTTTGCACTGCTGAAATTTGCTGTTTGATATTGGAATACATTCTTAGATAAATGTGGTTATGTTATACATCATTTTAATGTGCATCTCTCGCTTTATATTTTGTTTGCTAATGACTAATTACTTGCTATTTATATTTATTTTAGACTATAGAAATGATGCTAGACAAAAACCAAATTTGAGTGATCTGAGTTCAAAATGGGCCGTAAAGCAGTGGAGACAACTCACATCAACAATGCATTTGGCCTAGGAACTGCTAATGAATGTACAGTGCAGTGATGGTTCAAGAAGTTTTACAAAGGAGACAAGAGTCTTGAAGATGAGGAGCGCAGTGGCCAGCCATCAGAAGTTGACAATGACCAACTCGGAACCACCATCAAAGCTGATCCTCTTACATCTACATGAGAAGTTGCCAGAGATCTCAGTGCCAGCCATTCTATGGTTGTTTGGCAAATTGGAAAGGTGACAAAATTCAGTAAGTGGGTGCCTCATGAGCTGACCAAAAAAAAAAAAAAAATCATTGCTTTGAAGTGTCATCTTCTCTTATTCTACACAATAACAGTGAACTTCCAATGAATTTCTCAATTGGATTGTGATGTGTGATGAAAAGTGGCTTTTATATAACAACTGGCAACAACCAACTCAGTGGTTAGACCACAAAGAAACTCCAAAGCACTTCCCAAAGCCAAACTTGCACCAAAAACAGGTCATGGTCACTGTTTGGTGGTCTGCTGCTGGTCTGATGCACTACAGTTTTCTGAATCCTGGTGAAACCAATACAGCTGAGAAGTATGTTCAGCAAATCAATGAGATGCATCCAAAAATGCAATGCCTGCAGCCAGCACTGGTCAACAGAAAGGGTCCAATTCTTCTCCATTGACAACACTCAATCATGACCACACATCACACAACCAACACTTCCATATTGGGCTATGAAGTTTTGCCTCATCTGCCATATTCACCAACTGACTACCACTTCTTCAAGCAATGCGACAACTTTTTTCAGGGAAAACACTTCCACAACCAGCAAGATACAGAAAACGCTTTCCAAGAGTTCTTTGAATCCTGAAGCATGGATTTTTATGCTACAGGAATAAACAAACTTATTTCTCATTAGCAAAAATGTGTTGATGGTAATGGTTCCTATTTTGATTAATAAAGATGTTTTGTCCAATCACAGGACTTTTTGCCCTCTGCTCCTGGGAACCTCAGGCAGCCACCCCCATGGGCACATGCCTAGGTGCTGTTCCTGCCCGCGCTCCCTCCCTCTGCCTTTTATTTCTCAGCTGCCGAGATCCTGGAAGGCTGAATATTCCCCAGCTACTTCAGTCGTCCCTTATGTGAAGTTTAGAAGCTCCACCATTCCAGTTACCATCCTGTAGGTAACTTCCTGATTTGGTCAGTCTTCCTCTTCATATGACTTCTAGACTGAACTCTTGGTGAAGATAGGTGAGTGATGATCCAGTACAATTTTTGCAAAAATGAATCAGGATTTTCATGACCAAATATTAGAGAAGAGAGCCTTTTTCTTCTCAGTTTCTACCTGTTGTGGCCAGAAGTTGGCTTCTACTTTTTCAAGAATATAACCAGGTGTTAACAAACACAAAACTACTTCTCAGAGCAGCTTCATAAAAATTGATCTTTCAAAATTAAATAAGCATCTGGTGGACTGAAAATGTGTTATATTATGTGTATTTTAAAGATATTTTGACTACTGCCAAAATAAATCAATTCCTTCATGCTATCTCTCTTGTGGATATCATCATATGCCACTGGGTTGTATAGAGCACAGGCTCTGGGGGGGAGGCAGACTTGGATTTGCACCTCGCCTCTACCACTTATTGCTTGTGACCTTGGACTTTGCCTATTAGGAAAACCAGCTTTGAAGCTCAGCAAATCGGGAAATTCATTGAGAACAGTCTGTAAAGAGATCAAGCCCTAAGCCTTTGGAGTGGGAGCACTGACTCCAAGACCCTAGACTACCAGAGAACTAACTCTGATGCTGCTGCTGCTGCGGCTGCTGCTGCTAAGCTGCCTCAGTCGTGTCCAACTCTGTGAGACCCCATAGACGGCAGCTCACCAGGCTCCTCCGTCCCTGGGATTCTCCAGGCAAGAACACTGGAGTGGGCTGCCATTTCCTTCTCCAATGCATGAAAGTGAAAAGTGAAAGTGAAGTCGCTCAGTCGTGTCTGACTCTTTACGACACCATGGACTGCAGCCTACCAGGCTCCTCCGTCCATGGGATTTTCCAGGTAAGAGTACTGGAGTGGGTTGCCATTGCCTTCTCTGAACTAAACCTAGGGAGTATCAAATAGTGAGAACTCACACAAAGGAAACCAACTGAATACAAGTCCCAGCATCACCCAACCACCAGTAGCACCCTGTGCAGGATGCCTCATCTAAACAACAAGCAAAACAAAAATATAAGCCAAATCATCAGCAGACAGGATTACTACCTCACTCAGCCTTGCCCAACAGAGGAAAAATAAACAAAAAAAACAAAAACTCAGGACAGATCTCACCCTATATGAAGCTTACACAAACCACTGGACCAACCTTAGGAGGGAAGAAACCAAAAGTAACAAAGAATTCAACCTTTAAGCCTGGGAAAAGGAGACCTCAAACACAATAAGTTACAAAAAAAAAAAAAAATGAAAAGGCAGAGAAATACTACACAAAAGAAGGAACAAACTAGAAACACAGAAGTCCAAATAAATGAAGAGGAAATAGGCGAACTACCTGAAAAGGAATTCAGAATAATGACAGTAAAGATGATCAAAAACCTTGAAAACAAATGGAAAAAATGCAAGAATCAGTTAACAAAGACCTAGAAGAATTAAAGAATAAATATTCAGAGACAGACAACACAATTACTGAAATTAAAAATACTCTAGAAGGAGTCAACAGCAGAATATCTGAAGCAGAAGGACAAATCAGTGAGCTGAAGATAAAATGGTGGAAATAACTTCTGAAGAGCAGAATAAAGTAAAAAGAATGAAAAGAACTGAAGATAGTCTCAGAGACCTCTGGGATAATATCAAATGCACAAACATTTGAATTATAGGGGTCCCAGAAGAAGAGAAAAATAAAGGGTATGAGAAAATTTTTGAAGAGATTATAGTTGAAAATTTCCCCAACATGGAAAAGGAAATTGTCAATCAAGTCCAAAAGGCACAAAGAGTCCCATACAGGATAAACCCAAGGAGAAACATGCCAAGACACATACTAATCAAGCTAACAAAGACTAAACACAAAGAAAGAATATTAAAAGCAGCAAGGGAAAAGCAACAAGTAACATAAGGGAAACCCCATACGCTTAACAGAAACCCTATACGCTTTCAGCAGGAACTCTGCAGGCCCGAAGGGAATGGCAGGATATATTTAAAGTAGTGAAAGGGAAAAATCTACAACCAAGGTTACTATACCTGGCAAGGATCTCATTCAAAATTGATGGAGAACTAAAAAGCTTTTCAGACAAGCAAAAATTAAGAGAAGTTAGTACCACCAAACCAGCTTTACAACAAATGTTTAAGGGACTTATATAGTCAAGAAATACAAGAAAAGGAAAAAGATCTACAAAATCAACCCCAAACAATTAAGAAAATGGCAATAGGAATGTATATATCAATAATTGCTTTAAATGTAAATGGATTAAATGCTCTAACCAAAAGACAGAGACTGGCTGAATGGATACAAAAACAAGACCCATATATATGCTGTCTACAAGAAACCCACTTCAGATCTAAATACACATATAGGCTGAAAGTGAGAGGATAGAAAAATATATTCCATGCAAATGGGAAGCAAAAGAAAGCTGGAGTAGTAATCCTCATATCAGACAAAATAGACCTTAAAATAAAGAAGATTACAAGAGATAAGGAAGGACACTACATAATGATCAAGGGATCAATCCAATAGGAAGACATAAGAACTGTAAATATCTATGCACCCAACATAGAAGCACCTCAATACATAAGACAATCACTAACAGACATAAAAGGAGAAACTGACAGTAACACAATAATAGTAGGAGACTTTGAACACCCCACTCACACCAAAGGACAGATCATCAAAACAGAAAGCTAATAAGGAAACACAAGTCTTAAATGAAACATTAGAGGAGATGGATCTCATTGATATCTTCAGGACATTCCATCCAAATGCAGAATACACCTTCATCTCAAGTGCACATGAAACATTCTCCAGGATAGACCACATCTTGGGTCACAAATCAAACCTCAGTAAATTTAAGAAAATTGAAATTGNTGAAGTAAGCCAGAAAGATAAAGAACATTATAGCATACTAACACATATATATGGAATTTAGAAAGATGGTAATGATAACCCTATATGCAAAACAGAAAAAGAGACACAGATGTACAGAACAGACTTTTGGACTCTGTGGGAGAAGGCGAGGGAGGGATGTTTTGAGAAAACAGCATGTATATTATCTATAGTGAAACAGATCACCAGCCCAGGTGGGATGCATGAGACAAGTGCTTAGGCCTGCTGCACTGGGAAGACCCAGAGGAATCGGGTGGAGAGGGAGGTGGGAGGGGGGACCGGGATGGGGAATACATGTAA